CCAATAACCTTAAGAGAAAAAACAATTAAGATTTACAAACAGAAACAAACATTAAACAAAAACAGAATATGTTATTAATAAAAATCTTAATTTGGTTTTAGCTAAATAGAATCAGGTTATGTATTTGTTTTGCACAACCAAAAAAATAAAAAAAAATGTAATTTCTTATTTAATTTTCAAACATCAGATATAAAAATAAGATTACACATTTAGGGTAGACGTGAATAAAAATTACTTCAGTGATATTTTATTAGTGTATTCTTAGGTAAATAAAAATTACTTCAGTGATATTTTATTAGTGTATTCTTAGGTAAATAAAAATTACTTCGGTGATATTTTATTAGTGTATTCTTAGGTAAATAAAAATAAAATTTTAAATATATCTTAGGTAAATAAAAATAAATAGGTTTTCGTGCTTAATTCTATCGTAAAAAATGTTTCGCTTTTTATTTTGTGCAAATAAAAAAATTTAATTTCTAATTTGAAATAAAACATGATAAAGGTAAAATATAAAATTACTTCACTTAATTTACAGAAAATACATATTTGACCTACATAAAAAAGAATATTCAATTACCTGAATTTTCAAACCCTCATTTTGTCTGTAATTTCGAAATTTTATTGCAGAGAAGTCTGTTTTTATTAGAAGTTAATACTAAACACTTTATGCCATAAATATGCTTAAATAATAGAATGCAGCAAGAAATTAATAATTAGCTTTTGCTAACGTATGTTCTAATTTAAATCCATTCTATCTAAAGAATCAGTGCAATTTGTCATTACTCTTTTGGGCTTGAATCCAGATGTAAACTATAATAAATTTTTATGTCAAAATTAAAAGCGATCAAATTATAACATTAGTAATGAAATAATAATACCATCTTTGAATTATTAGATTAATATCCTTTCATTTATATCATAGAACATAATTTTGAAGGGAAACTCTCATGCATTTACAATTCCAGTACCAGATTTTAGAAAAGCGTTTATAAATATTATTATTTTAGTTTATAAATTATTAGTTTATAAATTTATCACGAGTTGGTACAGTTATTTAGCTTAGAAATGCAACTGCACACACCAATCATCGCGAGATAGCAGGAAAAATAATATTCTGCTCTATTTTTCACAAAAATGCATTAAGTTTTAAGAAAAGTCTAAAATAACATTTTTCTAAATTCGCTGCTCAGACAGCACATTCAATGTTTCTTAGTTCAATGTTCTTTAAGACCTTTAGTGTAAAAGTTATTTTATTCCTTCCAGATCGTTTCAAAAGAAGCTTTTCCAATTTATCTATCGGTCCCTAGGTAATTCCAGTGTTTGTTACCGAGAATTTTATTGCAAAATCTTGTTTTTCTGGATATAACACGTTAGCAACTTTATTGGGATTTTCCTTAGATTCAATACCTCCATAATGCATTATTTTATTGAAGTTCTTTTGTTTCATTTGAAAGTTCCTTGTTAGATATTTTCGTCAGAAATCCCTTAGGTGTAAAATCCCTTAGGTTGATTTCATGAACTTTCATTTCCTAGAATTCCATATAAGAAAAGGTTTGGTAAATATTTCATGACACCAACCAAGTTTATATTTCGATTCGTTTAAGTATATTATTTTGTATAAGCTTCTTCAAGTAATAAGGATAACTTTAGCAAGATATATTTCGAAATATTTGCTTGGTTTTCTCAGTAGCAAATAAAAAATTTGGGAATAATGTATTTATTTCTGTTGGGAATTATTAGAGGTAAATATGTGCAATGTGATAAATAATAAATTTATATATAAAAAAAAACTTTCAGCTGTTGGTTTCCAATAAAATAACTAAGTTATATACGTTATTATTTTAATAGTTTTTTTACCTTTTATATTTTGTGCACTTAAGTTTTAATGAGTAATAGGCTTTATATAGTAATAAGTAGTTCAGTTAAAAATTTCATTTCATAAACATCATCATATTTTCTAATTTAAATCTTATATCTAATTGAAGCCATAAATATTTTTATTTAGTACACGCCTTGTTCACCTCGCTCCATCCAATAGAAACCCTATTGATATTGAATCAAAGTGGCAGTCAAGCGTCACCTGATTTATCCCGTCGCCACACATTTAAACCGTTAGTTTTAAAAGTGCCCTCTTCTGAGGATTAAGATTAAAAGGCACAGGGTACAGGGAGGAACCTTTCGTAGCTTTCTACATAGCATTCTGAAGAAATTTCACCAGATTAAATTAAAAGGCACCACAACAATAGCTACCGTATGATTAAAAATTTAATTTAAACGTTCTGAAAATTTCGGAAAGGTTCAAAACAGTATTTCAATAAACTGGAGTTAATTAAAAAATTATCAACAATTTTTATTAACTGCTGTTCCGTTTTTGGAAGATAGGTGACGCTCTCTCCGCTCTCCGAGGGAAAAAATAACTTTATACTTTAATTTTTTAGAATTTACTTGATGTTTGAATTTTGTAGAATGAGCAAGTGTAAAATATCTGATAAGATTTTTCATGGCCGCTGCTGTATGCGGTTTCGTGCTGTTAATTATCTTAGGACTCTAACCTACGTTAATGATCATTTCCATCAATTCATATTCTCTATGAATTTTGACTAACGATTCAATCTCTTCCTAATTGTAAATTTCTTAAATCATCATATGACATTTCAGCCGCAATAAATATAGAGAAAGGCTTGCCAAAAGTCTAATTTTTATGTTACTAGAAGTGATATGACAATGCAGATTACAATACAAAAAAATTTAAATGCTGCAGTAGTTGTTATGCGTTAATGTTAACTGGCTTACATTATGTGTTTTTGTTCAGTTTGGTTTCTCTGTTCACTTGTTTGGGTCAAATCTCCAAATCAATTTTTGAATCCGCTTTACCAAATCGATTTTCATGAAATATTGTGCGCAATTCATTTTCAATGAAATTAGATTATGTTATCGAGAGTTATTTTTAAAGTTCGAACATAAATACTTTAAACGTTAAAGTAGTAATCTGGAATTAATCTGGAATTTGTGGAGGTATTTTTGAATCTTAGAGCAATATTCTTAAAATATCCGCAAGTTTTTGCGGATATTTGCAAAACATATTGAACAACCATTGCGAACTTTTGATCGTTCTGTAATTCAAGAAATCGAAAAATGATCTCGGAAAAAGCTTGGAAAGATTTCGGAGATTTTTCCAATATCTATCAATGGACAGCTAAAAATGAGGATTTTTAAAGCCAGTCTGTCAAATCGGAATTTAAATAATTTAAGTGTTACTTTACACCATAAAATAGACCGTTGATAAAAGAAAAGAAGATGTTACGTATTTAGTTGTGCTGATTGCAGGGAATTTTTAACTTTCAAATGGATGATTTTCTTCTTTTTCTTAATTATTATTTTTCTCCTTTCCTGAACTAAAAAAAATAACATAAAACAAACGCATGAAAATTTTAAGCTAGACGGTTTTTAATAACGTAATTAAAAACAGTAAATTTTACCTGTGAGAATATTCTTGGTTATATGTGTCTCAAAATAAAATCATGGCGAGGCGTGAAATGTAGAAAAAAAATAAACATAATTTTATTGAAAAATAGATAAATTAGTGTAGAAATGACGTTCATAAAGATGTTTATATTCAATTCCTTTTCTTGTTTAACAATTGTTATTTAAAATACATTATTGTTAACAGCTCTAAAATTTTATTTTTAGTTTCATATAACAGAAAATTTCATAGCAGCTAGAAAATTACTTTTTCCTTCTATAATTAATAATATATAATTAACACCACATAAAGTGGAAAACTTTATATATACGAGGTTTTTAAGTTTCTGTTTTTATTATTTTCATCATTATGGTTATTTTTATAAAGAATGTTATGTTTACCGCAGAAAAAGTGCTTTAAATTTTTATTGCATTTCTATTCTTAAAGAAAGCACCCAGAAGTTGAGCTTGAGTCAAATTTTACTTTCCATCACATAACGACTTTAGGCATGCAAAAATATAATTTAATTGTAAGGAAACCTGGCACTCATGTGCAACTTCTAGACACAAACGTGATTATAAATTTGTAATCGATGTTAAAATTTGTGGTATGAAACCATCATATTAGGAGAAAATCAGGCTTGAAAGAAGAAAAGTTGCACTTAGTATGACATAAAAATATAACAGAAAATCACGCAAACTTCTTCTAGAGTCTACATCAAAGTAATTGAAAGATATTATTGAGTTCAAAAACTATGCAATAAAGTACTGATCAAGTAGATGTTTTAATAACGAATACTATACAAAATGCTCATTTAAATTTTGCCTTCCCATTTTTAGTTATGTATTTGTGTGATTGTTGTTCATTAGCACAGCAGGTTTTAAAGACATCAGGTTATTCGGAAATTAGGTTTCGGAGCAGAAAAAGTGAAAAATTAACGATGCTGCCGGCTTGAATTCGAACTACGGATCTTGTGATTACCAAGCAGACGTGCTTTCAGTTACAACACAGCCGGCCCAGAGAAAGATGATAAATCCCTATACATTCTTGTATTTTCTGTCCTTTAATACCTTACTAAACGGTATTTAGTGTGGATAAGTTAAATTAAAAGCATCATGCTTCTGTTGAAAACAAATAAGAGAAAAATAAATGTTTAATTACCCTATTTCCGATATTTCAAGTCTGAAATAAACTAAGTTTAACAATTCAGTGGATTATAATTAGTCATTAATTTTTAGCGATGAAGAAAAGAGGATCGTAGATAGTATTTTATGAGAAATTGATTCTTTTGAATTTCAGTACAAGCAGTCATCTACTGAATTTATTACCTTGTCTGAGAAGTTCTTAAATCAACAGCATAGTTTAAGATGTACGTACTAACTATGAGATAAATTAATTACACACAGCCATAGGCCTTAAATGGTGAGTTAAAGATAGAGGTAAGAGAAGAATTTGTCCTTTTATCTTTTAAATTTATTACTTGCTGTCATTTTTCATTTCTCTTTAAGGCGATAATAAAGCAATATTTCAACATTACCGATCGTCATCGCTTCCACCCGAGTGCCGACCACTAGATGACGTCGAAACATGACTGACGTCATCACCGTCATGCTCCGCCTTGCTGACGTCATTAGAGGTTTCATCAATGGCTTCTTCTCTTTGTTCAGCTATATAAAGTTCTTGGTCGCATATGTCGTTCACGTAGTACAAATGCTCTTGAGCTTCATCGATTCGGAAAAATTTTTCTCCGCTGCAGGCTGATATGACAAAAGAAAAATAATAAAACTTTTGAGGATTAAATAACTGGAGGTAGTTTAGCTAGTTTGGATGAACAACAATAATTAAATTTGAAAAATAAGAGCATTTGTCTGATTTTCAGTGTGTGTCTTATTTATTTTTATTGTTTAATTTTGTTTACGTTTTCTGTAATGTTATTCTAATTTCAAATGTTGCTTACAGTAATCTTATCAAGAAAGCTCTAGTTACCAAATAATTTTACCTAAAATCTCTAATCATTAAACTGTTAAGTACACACACACAGACAGACAGACACACGCAAACACGAAAAATCATTCTTTTCATTGAAATACTGCACAAAGAATATATGAAACGTCAGTTCGAAACGCGTACATGAATATCTGTGCTAATAGAGGAGACTGTTGTAAATAATACTGAGTATTTGTATACTGTTACACTTCAAGACATGGCAGCAGCTTCTTCCTTAACCTAGTGTTACGGATTTTGTATTTAGTTAGCTATTTTAAGTAGAATTATAATTTTTTTTTATATATATTCCCGTGCAATGCAGCACGAGACATATTTTAAGAGAAAGATACGCCGGAGAAGTAAAAATGCAGGAGCACTCGCAATTAACATTTAATAAATAGATATCTCGTAATTCTACTCTTTTGCTTTCCAGAAATCTCGAGAAAACAGAAATTACCAGAACTTTCTAGTACCCGATTAAAAAGATTTAGAAAGCCGGAGGGAAACATCTCAGTTCAGTTGTTTACATAGTTGTTGTTGTTAATTGTATCGAATTCACGGTGAAGTCGGATTAGCTTTCTCTGCGCTTTGGATTGCGTTCCATTTAATGTTTCAGTAGTTTAAAATATAGGTACTGATTACATTGCGTATTATTGTGATATTTTACGAATATCTTTGAGGAAACATGCAGCATTTTGTTATTTTCTTGTGATAAGAATAAATTTTATCAAATTTTTATCGAACTTGTGCATTCAATCTATTACGAACCCGCAGGCACACGACAATTTTTACTGTCAGGAATGGGGTTGTATGCCAGTAGCAAGAGCGATGGAGAAGCAGTTAAGACAGCTGATTGCTGCCCTTGCTGCAGTTAAAGGAGAGATGAGATCTGGAAAAGATTCCGTTTAAGCAGAGATAGATGCGGTTCAAGGAAAGACGAAACCTGGTCAAGAAATGATCGAAGCTGGTCAAGTATCTGTTAAAAAAGAGATGAAAGTTTTGCAGAAATCTGTTAGAGAGGAGATAAAAGCTGTTTAGGAATCTGTTAAAGAAGAGATTAAAGGTGTTCAAAGAAAGATTGAAGCAGGACAAGAGGAAATGATAAGAGAAATTACCTGCGTAAGTGAAAACAAATTCGAAGCTATGGAAGTCAGAAAAGACTCAATCGAAAATAGGGTTGGAGAAATTGAAGAAAGAGTATCTTCTGTCAAGGAACAAGTAGATAAGAGAATTTCTGCTGTTTCGAAAGAAGTTGACAACTAAAAGAAGTGTCTAACGACCGCATGGAGCAATATTGATGGCTTTAAATGTTTACAGATGCCTGCTCGTTCCTCTCTGAAGCTATCTATATATGATGGAAAGACTACTTGGCGAGTGTATAAGACCCAATTTTCTATACTGGAAGAAGCGAATGGATGGGATTCCCAAGCTAAGGCCTGTCATCTCGCTGCTTTTCTGAGAGCAGACGCTGCAGATATTCTTCAAACTCTTCCAGAAAACCAGAGACTAGACTTCGAAGCTCTATCCGGCCGGCGCGTTGGAGCTGCACTTTGGAGAGAAATGTTTAAAAGACTACAGTAGGCTTCAATTATTATCCCGTCAACAGAAGTCCACGGGAACAGTCCAGGAGCTCCCCAGAGATGTTAAAAGGCTGTAGCATCTCGCCTTCCCTGGGTGTCCGACAGAAACAAGGGAAATCCTGTCTCTTCAATACTTCATCGATGGCATCCGGGATCCTGAAACACAGACGTGATAGAGAATTTACGAATGGCGGATGTGAAACACTTAAAAAGCGCTTTAGTGTACGCCATGAAATTCGAGGCAGCCCAGCAAGCAACTCGTAGCAACCGCCACAAGTTAAAGCTGTTCAAGTCCAGGAGGCAGTGGATCAGGTCACCGTTCCTCTAGACGATTTAACCAGACAACTCAATGACTTGAGACGGAATAGTGGTAACAAGAAACCTACTCTAAAGTATTGGAAGTTTGGTGCTGAAGGCCATATACGACGACATTGCAGAACAGCCCAGGGCACAGAAAATAAAACAGATGATTTGAGGGTATGGAAAATAAGACCAGTCCCCAGCAACGACACGAGAATTAAATTAATGACCATATCGCAGAGAGAAATTTTAAGGATAATGAGAAGCCACATTTCAAAGCTCTTCAGATATCTGCAGTGAGCGGTATCAATAACGGACTCTTCATCATGGGATATATCAGTGGATATCCTTGCAATATGGTGATCGATACAGGAGCGAATGTTACCATCATTCGGAAAGATTTAGCGTTTACGTTTGGAAGTGCCGCCTACTATCACACGGCATATGTAGCAGACATTGCAGATCCTTTTATACTCAGATTGAACTTTCTAAAGAAATACAATATTTCCTTGTACTTTAAAAATAACGAACTGAATTCAGCCTCTGAAGACACAAATATCCATCATCAGAAGGGATCCTCACCTGGAAACTTCGAATTCTTGTCTAGAACACCCTGTTAAGAATGGTGCCGATATCATACTATGGTCGTAGAGAAACACGAGCTGTTGAGTACGGTCGCATGAGAAATTACCACATCAACATCAGCTGATAGAGCCCATGGAGTGATAATGAAGTCAGGAAAGACCAGCTGGAAGATTGCGACATAAGACCCATAATTGAAGTAATGGAGTCTTCAAACAGAAAACCTACTTGGCAGGACATTTTCTTCTATAGTCCTACGACACAACAATACTGGGCTCTATGGGACTCACTCCACAATCGAAACGCCGTTTTGTACCCGAAATTCCAATCGGAGGATGGAAAGGCTTTTCGATGGCAGCTGATACTTCCAAGATCCCGGATTCAAGATGTCCTTAAAGAGCTAAATAGCATCCCTACGAGAGGCTCTTTCGGAATAATGAAGACCTTGCAGGCAGTTCGTGAGCGCTTCTACTAGAATAATGTAAAGTATGACATGCAAAAGTGGTGCCGATCTTGCAATGACTGAGCAGGTCAGAAAGGACCGAAAAAACGCAGCCGAGGCAAGCTGCAACGTTACAATGTAGGAGCACAGTATGAACGTATCGCATTCGACATCTTGGGACCTCTGCCATTAACTGCTGATGGCAACATATACATCCTCGTTGTCATAGATTATTTCACCAAGTGGCCTGAAGCGTATTCTATACCTGATCAAGAGGCTGTTACAGTAGCAGAGGTTATGATACAACACGATACGACACTTTAAAGTGTCCGAGTACCTCCTCAGTTACATTCCGACCAAGAGAGAAATTTTACCTTGGGTATAAACAAAAAACTCTGCAAGCTATTCGGCATTGACAAAACCCAAATGACATCTTTACATCCCCAGTCAGACGGCATGGCAGAGAGATTTAATCGAATCATCCTTAAGAATCTCTGATTGGTGGTTTCCATAAGCCAACAGGATTGGGACAAGAAGTTACAACTGTTTTTACTGGCTTACCCCAGTGCTATCCACGAGACTACCGGTTACTCCCCATCTCAGATGCTCTTCAGTCGTGACCTTTGTCTGTCTTGTGATCCCTTGCTTGGTCACCCTCCGGATGCGCCTTCATCGCCTGAGGAATACAATCAAGATCGCCAGGCCAGATCTGAAGGATGCACAATTTTGCACGAGAGCGAGTTAATTTGGCGACGGGAAGATAAAGACCCTTTACGACACGAGAGCTACTGGGCATCGATTCAACGAAGGAGACAAAGTGGGGTTGTGGAATTCGAGTTGACGAAAAGGACTCTCTGAAACTACAGTCACCTTGGGATGCCCGTACAACATTCCTACACAGTCTGAATGACGTCGTGGTTCGGTTTCGTAAGTCATCGAAATCTAAGCCTAAAGTCGTTCATCACGACAGGTTAGCTCGTTACTATAGCCATAGTACGTAGTATATACACTCTCAGACGAAAAAAAAAAAAACGACGCACCAAGATAGAGTTATCCGAATGGGAGGAAAATCGGTAGAAGTGATGTACATGTATAGAAAAACAAATGATTACATTTTGAAAAAAATTGGATGATTTATTGAAGTGATCGAGCTTCACAAAGTGAAACAGTAACGCGTGTATGTAACTCTGGCCCTTATGCAAGCAGTTATTCGGCTTGGCATCGATTGGATGTCCACCTGAAGGATATCGTGCCAAATTCTGTCTAACTGACGCCTTAGATCGTCAACATCCCGAGCTGGTTGGAGGGCCCTGCCCAAGATGCTCCAAATGCGCTCAATAGGAGAGAGATCTGGCGACCTTGCTGGCCAAAGTAATGTTCGGCAAACACTAAGGCAAGCAGTAGAAATATGTGCAGTGTGGGGGCGGGCATTATCTTGCTGAAATTTAAGCCCAGGGTGGCGTGACATGAAGGGCAACACAACGGGCCTTAGAACTTCGTCGACATACCGCTGTGCTGTAAGGTTGCGACGGATGACAACCAAAGGTGTCCTACTATGAAATTAAATGGCACCCCAGACCCTCACTCCTGGTTGTCGGCCTGTCTGTCAGAGGACAGTCAGGTTGGTATCACACCACTGTCCGGGGAGTCAGACTCGTCTTCGCTGGTCATCGGGGCTCAGTTCAAAGCGGGACTCATCACTGAAGTCTATTCTAGTTCAGTCAGTGACATTCCAGTGCGAATGAGCCTGAGACCACTGCAAACGGGCTTGACGTTGTACAGAAGTCAATGGTAGTCGGCGAAAGGGATGCCGTGGCCTCATTCCCCTTTCTGTGAGCCGTCTATGAATGGTCTTTGCGGTCACTGAAGCACTAGTTGTACGTACAATCGATGATAATGATGTATCTAGGGCTGTGAGTGCCGCTCTGACGATTGCTCGATCTTGACCTTCTGTCGTTCTCTAGGCCTATCACTTCCTTCTTGACGCTGTGTTCGGCCATGGTTCACCCATTCCTACCAGAATCATCGAATAGTGGCATCGCTGCTGCTCAAATATCGAGCTATTCGCCGATAAGACCAACCGGCTTCTTTGAGCCGAACTGCGCAACCTCTCTCAATTTCTGACATCTGCGCATATCGTTCGCGCACCTGTATGCGAGGCATAGTTAATGTCTACCAGAGTACACGGAATGAAATTCGTGAAGAATTTATGACGTGGAATCGTAATTTCTGCTTTTAAATATCCTACCAGTTGCGCAGATCAGATGCGCTGTAGCGACAACCGTTCATTTATTGGCAGGCAAAATGTAAATTTTGCATTTTCCGTCGAAACTTGTATGCATATCAATTTGTGCCCAGTTTGCTTTATATCTTCTCGGTGCGTCGTTTTTTTTTTATATCTAAGAGTGTATAATGTAAATAGTATGAGATGATGGTCTTTTTTGTTTCTGTATTTGATAGTATTTGATTTGTCTTAAGTTACTTATTGTAATTATTGTTTATGTTGTTTGTTATTGTAATGTAATCTTCATTATTGCATTTTTCCTTAGTTGTAAGTTTGGCTTGCTTTTCACGGACTGTACTGCCCGGAACGTGCAGTCCTTGGGAAGGAGGCAGTGTTACGGATTTTGTATTTAGTTAGCTATTTTTAGTAGAATTATAATTAAAATTGTTTTATATCCCCGTGCAATGCAGCACGAGACATATTTTAAGAGAAAGCTACGCCGGAAATGTAAAAATACAGAAGCACACGCATTTAACATATAATAAATAAATATCTCGTAATACTCTTTTGCTTTTCAGAAATCTCGAGAAAACGGAAATTACCAGAACTTTCTCGTATCCGATTACAAAACTTTAAAATGTCGGAGGGAAACATCTCAGTTCAGTATTTACATAGTTGTTAATTGTATCGAATTCGTGGTGAGATCGGATTAGCTTTCTCTCCGCTTTGAATTGCGTTCTATTTAATGTTTTAATAGTTTAAAATACAACTACTGATTATATTGCGTGATATTGCGATATTATACTCATATGTTTGAGGAAAAATCCAGCGTTTTGTTATATTTCTTGTGATAAGAATAACTTATTATCTTTTTATCGAACTTGTGCATTAAATCTGTTACGAACCCGTAAGCACGCAACAATATTACTTGTAGAGTCTTTCAGAATTTTTCGATATCAGGAAACTGAAAAAACATCCTCAATTTTGTTCCCAAAATTTCGAACCCCAGACCTGCCGAAAACGCGTCCAGCGTGCGTCTAGTTACACCACGAAGTCAAGCGGAAAGCAGGGAGAAAGTACCTCAACTTTTTTTTTTAAATTTATAAAAACCTTTTAGTTCGAAGTAAATTCTGGTAATTCAAACACCGCAAATTTAACCGAATACAGGAATATTATTATATCTTCAAATCCAAGAAACGAATAAGAATTTCTTAACTTTGTTTCTGTTATCTCGATGTTCTTAAAACCCTCACGGTTTTGCTGGTCAGAAGGTTTATGACCTAAAATATTTTCGCTACGATTTTATGAAAGCGTATGTATGTGCATATTTAATATGTCCAATAAATTAAGACAATATATTAAAAGCATACAAATCCAGGTATAAAATAATAGAGGCATTTCGGCATTCAAGTAAAGAAAATACCTCTTTCTCTTGGCAGTCTGTGGAAATCTGAAGTTTCTTAGAGAAACGCTTTGCCGGCTGGAGGGTAGCAAATAGACTCTATGGATTTTCTAGTCGCAGCATAAATTGCCACTGAGCGATTGATTAAATTTAACCCGACCAAGCGGCTGACAGCCACCAACCCTCTTTTCTGAAAAATAGCCTCCTGAGACAGCCATGCATGTTGAAAGAGTATAAATATTCTTCGAAATGGGTCTTCTGGCGAAACACGATAACCAAGATAGATTTAAATGGTATTCCGAGAATTTAATGCAACTTTATCGAGAAAGTTCTTTCTAAGAATTGAAGCTGGACATAATTTATAACACTGAAAATTTATTACCACGAACTGCTTGCATGCTTCCAGTTAAACTATTGGAATAATTGTTAACTTAATAAAATAACGTAATTAATCGTATGCAGTTCGTTTAATAAATCATTATTATCTACTTATTTAATTCCTCTATAAAGGTTGAAAACAAATGAAGAGTAATTTTATTTTAAAAAACAGAAGTATACTTACAATCAAGAAACCACCATTCGGTTAATTTGTGGGTTATTGGATCCTGTTTTTCAGTTCCATTGTTCTGAAATAAAAGATTTTATAAAGAAATATTACACAAGCGTTGTTTTGTTTTTGGTGTGTATTCAATCCTTTAATATTTCGATATCTGCTATCTAGCTGATAGCAAATAATAAAAGCATCAGCATTGACTTTTATTGTTTACCTAAATATGAGTTTTTAGATCTTAGCTTTAAGACGCTGGGATAAAAATTAAAAGGATAACCACAGGTATAATTTTCTATTGTTTCTAAATATATGCAAGCCATATTTATATATGCTTCTAAGCCGAGTCATCAATAAAGATGCTACAAATGTCTTTTATTAATTACGTTAAGTAAATTCGGTGGCGTTTTTTAAAATCATTCATTTACATGGATAAACAACGAATAGTGAACACGTTAGAAGGAAAATTAAAGATCTTATTCAATGGTATGGCAGAAAGATCTCAACTTTTAAATTCGCCCTCCGCCTGAATAATTTAATCCTTGACAACTTAAAGCTCTGTAAAGGTACAAATAAAGTCAACACAACATTTGTTGGAAGACATGTTTTTCATCTTCACACATTAAAAACATTATAGATATTTTCAAAGTTAGATATTTTTACACTGCTGGATATCAAAATTTCTTCTCCGTAAGCGAAACATACAACTAACCCAAAACTACATGAAAGGTAAAAAATGCTGGGATATGGTAGATGATTAGCATTTGATGCCATTCGCACATTGCAAACAAGAATTAGGAACAGCATAACAAAGGAGGACTTAAATGCTGATTTTTCATGCTGCATGATTTCAATATATAATTCTGACACATAAGCACTTTTGATGAGTATTACTTAAAAATAAAACTTCTCAAATTTTTGCTCTAATCGTGAAGAAATACTCAAATTCTTCAGAACTGGATGATGTGTTATGAATTTCGCAGTTTAATGATTAGCATAAATTCAGCTAATCCCTTTAGTAAATAAATTTCTATAATAGGATTAGTTATGCATATAATCAGTCTATATAAAGATATGCATTTAATAGAATCTTAAGATTCCATTGAGGATTGCTAAATTCAATCGCTAATGCCTAGAGGCTTGTTTTGCGTTTTCGAGAGTTTAATTCAGGAAAAAACTTCACTGAAGGTGAAGTAAAGATCTTTTAGCTTAGAAATTTTTGATGCCACCATTAATTTTTAAATTTGCATGTAATTCAGTTTCATTTCCAAAATTTAACATTTGTTAATTTATGTGAAGAACATTTGAGAATACACCTAATAAAATGTTGATAAAGTAATAAACGATGATTATTAAAAATATACATATCATGATGCATTTATTCACACATAACTTATTAAAACTATAACTACATATTTTAAAGAATGACAAATTCTAATAAAATTGTTATAAGATACGTAAGAGAAGCGTTCCAGTCTTGAAATTATACAAAATTAAACTTTAGGTTCATATCTTTTTTATAAATATTCTATAGCATTTTTTATACATATTCTATTCATACTTTAAAAAGGACAAGTTCATATAATTTTCTTCGCTAATCATTGCTGGTTTCTTAATCATTCTTCCAAATTTTCTTTTGTTAAATTATCTAAACCATTTCTTCAGTTTGTTAATTAAGTCTTCTTGAATCTTTCCATGATTATTTTTAATGAATAAATTTTAATTTCTATCTATTTCTTTTAATGGTATTTGAAACATTTTTGCTTTCATTTTATAATTAATTTCTTTCGATTTTTCTTTAACCAAGAATATATTATTAAATTTTAACTAAGCAAAATCGCTTGATAAAATTTTTACCATGAAGAAAGGAGCAATCTCAGATTCCGCAAAAATATGTAGAGATTTTTAGAAAAAACTGTTGCAACCTTATTGAATGTTACGTAATTTTGAAGATAGTAATATGAGTTCATTAGTAATCAATCTGTTAAAACAAAACACATACATCGATCTAAAAGATACCACACGCTTTATGTAGATGCTAAAGATATAAAAAAGAGAATTTATAATGATTCCTTCAGACCCACTAGTTTGATATCATTATTTAAAAAATATATAAGTAAAAATTTTTAAAAGTCGTAAAGAAGTAATGAACACTGGCAATTACTTTCTCTTTTTCCTCTGAGCCTCCGTCATCCCTTTTTTTCAGAAGATTGTTGATTTGTTGTCGAATTTCTGACAGATCATCGTCATGGCTTATACTTATTTCGCCCAAAGAAAAAGCTAAAATAATAAACAGAAAAAATAATATCTCTAACAAAGAAGTAGAATTTAATTCTGATTGTAAATATTTCTTCTGTTTTATAATATGTGATGTTCATTATCTTTATGCTTCTCTATTTAACTAAATTTTTATGCAAAATGGACATGAGCATTGGTTTTCCCTCCTTTAACGTTCCTGTATTTTAAATTGTGTTCAAGATAATATTTTCTTATATATTTAAATGTCTAAATATAAATATTACTTTATACATAATTTTAGACATTTAAATATAAGAAAATATTACATACTTTATATACTTTCTACTTTTCATATAAAATTTTGCTTTGATCTGCTTCTGGTCCAGATAGATGCATAACACGATTTTGATTTGTATACCCAAGCCTGTACAATGGTAAACGGATCTTATTTTCTTGCATTAACTATTACACTCTGACACTGTTATTTCGTTTTCTTATCTATGGTTTTATTGATATAAATTCATTAATTTCTATTCTTTCATTTGGGTTTTTATTTCAAATATATGAGCTCATAATTTCTAAATTTTAAGTAAATATTAATTTTGTATTGGGGATGAATCGCCCCTTTACTTTAGTATGGATTAACCGTATTTGCCGGCGTATAAGACGCACTTTTTTCCTTTGAAAATAGGTCTGAAAAATGGGGTGCGTCTTATACGTCGATACTCAATTTTTAATTACATTCCTTTTACAATTTTTAATTACATTAATTTCCTCTATTCTGAGTTATGCGATTTTTTTCTTGTTCCCTTGCGGAGTGTGAGAATATTACAGTTACGTAGAGTTTAGTAAATACGCCTGTACTGTCATCGACGATCACACCTGGGTTCGTTTAAACGTTCCAATTTTTGCGAACGACTTTTAAGTGTGTGAAATTGCTACTCTTCAATTTTCCTAAATTTGTTGGCAAAGGTATGGCTCAAAACAACGTCGGCATCGCTATAACATAGCATGCAAGCTGGTTGCAGTTTTTACATTTTGAGTTTACTCAGGAAGAAGGAAGAGGCCTAGCATTTCGCAAGTTTATGAATGGGTCTAAGCTTCATGAGATGCTGTGAAAGCAGAGACAGTGGTTAAATCGTTTAAGAAGTATGACATTAGTAATGCACTGGATGGTACAGAGAACAATTTGTTGTATGAGGACTCAGATGCTGATTTAAAAGAGGTGTTAAGTGACTCTTCATTTAGTTCTGGTGTTGAGTGTTTGGGTTTCGACGAAGAAGGTTAAAAGCTGTTCTTTCCCAGATAGATTGGGTATTTGCATAAAGTATTACTTTGTATTTATATTTATATTTAAAATACTGTAAATTCATTTTAATGATCAGTAATAAAGTTTTTTATCCTTCAAAAATGTGTCTAATAAAGGGGGTCTTCTTAATACGGCAAATACGGTAATTCGTATACCATCACCCGCTCTGTAGCAAAGGAACGCGAGTTTCGAAATAGCTTCTATAACAAGCCATGCAAAATTATTTATTTCTACTTTAAATTTTATAATAAGTGATTTTTGAAGTCTCAGGATCAAATGGCTTATTTAGCTGACTGAGACTTCAAAAATCAAAAAATAATTAATAAATAAGTCTACAGATAACATGAGGTCCGAGCCAGCTATCACGCTGACAATAAGCATTCGCATCTTTCATGGAAAAGGTCATTCCTCAGATTAGGCAAAGCATTGAAAGGATTTTTATTAAACCTCTTAATGGCCATATAATGGTCTTATAATGGTTCTTTTAAAACTTTATTGCTCAACTAAATCATACGTAAATAGTAGTTTTCATATAATTTAATCGAACTTGTTTAAATAATGTCCCTTCATGAAAATGTTTGCCTCATAATTCTTTAAAAACTAGTTAACAATTTTCAGATGCAATATATCACATGAATAGCTCTTAAATGGATGCAGTAAAAGATGCTTTCTATGATTCTTCAAACAGTCAGACGAAGGGAAAGTTTGTGGAGGCTATTTCTGTTTTGGGTAGAATTAATTTTGTACTTTATTGTAACTTCTATGTATATTAAGAGTTTGACTGTCTAACTATTGGGCTTCTCAAGCATATAAATGAGCATCAGGTTAATAAACTTCACATTTCTTTAGCAGATTCTAAGTTTGCGAAACTTTCTCCTTTAAAATTAATGAAAACTCATCATTTCCACGAGCCCGTACCAGCCAATTGCTATGACAACAGCTATTTATCTCTCAAACGCGAAATCGAATGCAGTGCTCTCAAAGCATTCTGAGCACGTTTTCCGACGAAAATTGCCCTACGAACTTCTATCAGGCTTTTAAGTTTTATCCAAAGCTTAAGAAATAGAAGCTCATAAACGAAAATCTGTTAGTATAATAATAAAATAGTATAAATGAATTAAATATCGCTTTATATTACAGAGAAAATAGGGATAATTTATCTTTAGGTTTATTATTTTCTCTGTTTTAATTCAAAATGTTTCATACAAAGATATTAATTTGTGCATATAAATATCCTATTTTTATACTTATTAAAATTAATTAATATCATACTAGAGATTAATATTTGGCTATAATTAATTGCAAAGGGAACTGATTAAACGCGTTCTTTTAAGATCAGTAATGGCAGCACATTTGGTTTTGATGCTGTCTTTGTAATGCTCATGTAGAAAATAAAAATTAGCAGGTCATAAAATATTAATGTAGAATAATACTAACCTTTATCCTCTAATGCACCTTTGCGATGATGCTCAGTTTCATAGTGCTGTAGTAATATACTTTTTACAGGAAGACTATTTTTTTCGACGCTTTCCCTAAAATAAAAAATGCTTCATAATTTGAATATGAAAATCATTTTAAACAAATTGCAAAACCAATAGATGCTTAATTTTACTGTTAATTCTTCAGAATTTTAAACTGCTCTCCTTCTAAAAATTAAACCAAAAATAATTTAATGGTTATTTTGAAATGTAAAATAAATCGAGCTTTCGTTTTATTCCTTTTTAAGGTTTAATGATGATAAATGAAACACTCACATAGTTAGACTAAAAGGATTTCAAAGCTTTTGCTTTATTAAATTAAGTGTTTACTAGACGCAAGAGAATCACGCTGACGTGGAAAATAAAACAGGCAAATCGACAATCTTGTATTCGGCGTAGATTTTGTAAAATCCCAATCGATTTCGAGTGGGATTTTACATGCACACGATTCCTACTCGATTGGGATTTTACATGCACACGATTCCTACTCGATTGGGATTTTACAAAATCTATGCCAAATATAAGGTTGTCGATTTGCCTGTTTTATTTCCCACGTCAGCGTGTTTTTCTTGCGTCTTGAATTTTGCTACGAACCGACATTTTTGAGAAATTTCCTCCTGTTTGGATTAGGCAAAATATTTTGCTCCTGACGAAGGGGGGCCCATTTTGCCCTCGAAATCGATTGCGGTTTTACAAAAATCTACGCCGAATACAAGGTTGTCGTTGATTTTCCTGTTTTATTAACTGTTTACTATTTTTATATATATCATATGAAAATCCATTATGCTAATGGCTTGTAACTCCAGTTAATCTAAGCTAATTTAAATTGATATATTTCAAAATATTAATTAGAAAAGAAAGCAAATAATATAACAGAAACAAGACCACTATCTGCAACAAAACTGAAAGAACTTCAGCGCTTTATTAGAACATGTGTTTCGTTAAATTATTACACTTTTTTGCAAGAATAATAATATGAAGTTAAATTTAAGCAAACTTTTCTTATCATGTTTACAATAAAAGCATTACAGGGAAAAACTGGGCAAAAAATCATACATATTCGGTAATGTACACAAATATCACAATATAAATACAAACATTTCAACACAAATATATACAAATGTTAAACATTTCAACATAAATATGATTAAACAAATCATTCAATACTTAAATTTCAGCAATAAACGTTTTATTAAGGATTTTCATATGCTTTTTACTAGCTTAATAAGTATTTCAAGAAAGACATAAAACAAAATACAAAATTTCTCACACTCCTAATTTGTGTATAGGAAAAATATGAACGAAGAGAAAAAATTAAAATTTATAAATTATTAATTTCTACTTATAATCTTTGTATAATTATATATATAGACACGCACACACACATACACACACACATATATATATAATTTCTATAGTACTATACTTATATATATGTACTATATATATCTTTTTTTTTAGCATGGTCTATATAACATCAACTTAAGTGACTATAACTAAGTAACATTTAATCTGAACATTTGTGTACATTCTCAGACCAGAACCAGATCTTGGATCCATTTGTGAACAAATAAGTGCGTATAATTTAGGGACACATTCTCAACATAGTTTGAGTCATGTAATTAATGTAAGTAAGATATTTTATTACCAAACAACTTAGGATAGCAAAGGATAGTTTCTTATATAATAATGTGTGTATGGATATTATTATAAATTTGTAGGGTTTATATTTATTTTAACTAACATTTATTTTAAGTTTAAACTATCTTTCCTGTCAAGCCTTACTTTCCCCTGGAATTGCCAATGCCAGAATATGTAAATTTGAGTAGAACGCGCAAGCATTCAAATTATCAGCGGAAGTAGTATGATTTAAATAGAAGGAAACGAGTTCGGTGAGAGAGTTATTCTTACTTCGCGAGCGCGGAGGTAGAAATCGAGAATTAAAGAACCCCGCGTTGCGGCCTATGTGCTTGGCGGGAAGTAGTTGCAATTGTTCCAGTGAGCTTCAAGTCTGCTGAATTAGCTGCGGTATTTGTAAAACGCGGTGAGTTAGTTATTTTAGAGAGCCTCGTAGTTAGAATATTGTCTTTACTTTCTTTTCAGGTTTTTATTTTTATTTGACTGCCTAGTTGGCACAGTTTGTAAGCGTCAAGAGGACGCAATTGTAATTTAGTACGTTGAATAAAAAGGGACTTAAACCCTTTATAAGACTCTGTGGTTTATACAAGCTTTCACAGTCACCTCTAGGTTGCGTGCTAGTTAGAGGCGCGCAACGTTATATTGGCGCCCGAACACTTATCGAACTGAAATGGCCGAAAACTGGATGGAAGCCGCTGGACAACACCAAGAAATGACAACTCAGTTAGAAGGATTTGGATACCTGGTCCAGACTTTGAGAGCATCAATCAAGCCAAACGTCTATTTCGACGGAAAAAATTCGGTGTCCGTATTTTTAGAAGGTATAGAAAACCACTTTCAGCTCTATCCTGTGCCTGAAAGACAAAAAGTTGCTATTGCCACATCAGCACTAAGAGGACAGGCCGCGCTATGGTGGAAAAATATAGGCAAATTTCTTCTAGGTGAATTTGGAAGCCCGACGTATACATTTGAAAATTTCAAAAAATCGTTAGTAAAGGCCTTCCCCATAGTGAAAGATCGCGCACGGCTGGAAGCCCAGCTATATAGTTTCTATCAACGGGATACAGCACAATTGACGGACTTTATTTTACGAAAAATCAAACTAACGGATATGTTGTATGGGAAAAAACCCGATGCGGAGATAATTGAAATAATATTACCAAGATTGTTACCCGCTGTCCAAGACTACTTTGAAATTAGAAACCCAACCACATTGCAGGAACTTTTTCGAATTGGCGGTGAAGTTTCAAAATCGCAGAATCGCGGAAAGAGCGAGAGGGGAAACATATTCTCAAAGTACCAGAAGGAAGAAGGAAACAAGAAATGGAAATCGCTCATATGGGGGAAAGAAAATATCAAGCTAACGCATCGAAAACTCGAAGGTCAAGGCCCAAAAAGAAAATTTGAAAATAAGCATCCGCGTACCCAGAAGACACAGATTGAAAGGAAAGCTTTAAACGACTAGAGGGGCCTGTGAAAGGGAGGGTCCAGACCCCCGGAAGTTTTAGAAAAACCCTCAAATAGACATCTAAATACAGTCATAGTAAAAAACTTACAGCTACCAATTATACAAGTCCTGGTTGGCGATGTACCAGTAGAAGCCCTCATCGATACAGGGGCAGAAGGAAATTTCATGAGTGAAAAGTTCTTCAAAAAGAATTTTTATAGGATACGACTATTCAAAACCAGAAATACGGAAATTATAGCGGCGCAAGGAAAAACATGTCACTGCATCGGCAAAGTATCATTAAACATACAGGTAAAAGAGGAAAATCTCAAGTATTAATTTTTGTGGTGAAACACCTCCAACACTCTCTTATTTTAGGTATGGACTTTTTAAGGGCCGCGAGGGCCAAATTAAATTTTCAAGATAGTTCCGTGGTGCTGGAGATGGACCAGAGGGTGGTGGAACCTGCGGAGACACCTGAATTGGACCTTAGCCATTTGAAATACCAGGAAAGTAAAGCAATACAGCAAGTGGTGAGTAATTTTTCTCATTTGTTTTCAGAAAAACCGGGAAACTGTCAGATCGTGACTCACAAGATTCAATGAAATGCCGAAAAACCTTGTAGGACTAAACCTTACCGCTATGACAAACAAAAAGACGTAATCATCGAAGAACATATTCAGGAGATGTTAAAGAATAAAATAATAACGCCCATAAATAGTGAATACGCGAGTCCAGTCGTACTATGTAGGAAAAAGAATGATTTCCCTCCTTCGGATAAAAGGGCTTGGAGGTTTCCTATCGATTATAGAAAACTAAATAGCATAACTAAATTCCCAGTTTACCCTTTGCCGGTTATAGACGAGATCATTAGACAGATCAAATCGACGAGATATATGTCTACTTTGGACTTAACGTCTGGCTACTATCAAATAGCTATGAGACCCGAAGATATACATAAAACCGCGTTTATAACAAAATCGGGCACTTATGCATTTTTTACGCATGCCTTTTGGGTTGTGGTGGGGCCCCATCAACATTCCAGAGAGCTATGGACATTGTTCTAAAGCCTGTCCTAGGAAAATCAACTTTAATTTCTCTAGATGATATAATTATAACGAGTAGTACGTTGGAACAACACGTTAATGACCTCGAACAAGTTTTTAAATTATTAAAAGAGGCCGGTCTTACAATTAACGCCTCAAAATGCAAGTTCGCAACTAAAGAACTTAAATATCTCGGTTATAAAATTTCGCAAAAGGGTTATAGAAACGCAAGATTCAAAAATAAAAGCTATTAAGAATTTCCCACCGCCCAACACGCCACACCGCCAAGAAACTTTCGTCTTTCCTTGGACTATGTTCTTACTATCGATCTTTCATAAAAGATTTCGCTAATATTGTTGAACCACTCTTAGTAATCAAAAGAAAAAAGAGTAAATTTACGTGGACAGCTGAAGCTAACACAGCTTTTGAAAGATTAAAAGAAGCGCTTATTAATGCCCCTGTTTTAAAATTCCCTGAGGGGGACGAAAAAACCTGGAAATTGCGGCAGATGCATCAGACTATGCGGTGGGGGGCGGTTCTTATGCAAAATAATCATCCGCTGGCATTTTTTAGTAAAAACATTGAATCAAACACAAAGGAATTATACAGCTACAGAAAGAGAAACATTAGCCGTATTAATGGCTGTACACAAATTTCGAGTTTATTTCGGCAAATCGTCAGTAACAGTCTTTTCGGATCATGCGGCTGTTGGTAGACTTTGCTCGGGAAAAAACCTAACGCCCAGGTTAATAAGATGGGCTTTAAAACTCCAAGAATATAATATCACAATAAATATAAACCGGGTAAGGAAAAACAATGTAGCTGACGCACTTTCTCGTATAAAACTGGACGATGAAGGCAATGAACTTAAATGCGCTGTGTTGACTTCAAAAATTTTAGATTCTAGAGATACGGTTATTACT